AGGTGTGCTGGTGCAGGGATGGGTCGGCAAGTCGTGCCCAGGGGAGCCACCTCTGTGAGGCTCAAAAACACGAATGGCAGGGTCAGTGAATTCCCCTCTCACTGAGGTTCCTCAGTTTGCCACCTCCGTGTCGTGCCATTTTTCAGTAGAGCATGATGGTAAAATCTTTAGGGTCAGCAACATGGGGACTGGAGAGGCTGTCTCTCTGCTGCTCCCTGCTTGGACTTGGGATGGGTAGTGGCAGTCTGCGGAGAGGGTTCTAGTGACCCTCAGGGGAACATGACAGAAGGCCCAGGGAGCCACTTTGGTTCGGAGATGTGGCCCTTAGGATTAGCAGAGGAAAGGCCTGTGCAGGGTTCCCCATGAGTGTGAAAGGAGAAGGGGCCACCTGGAGGCTGCAGGGTCTGAGCCCAGGGCTAGGCTGCAGCGCAGCCCCCAAGGCAGCCTCAGCTGGCCGCTCTGATTTTGCCAGGCCTACTCTGAGGGCACGTGACCCAGCAGACACGGGGCTCCCCCAGGGCAGGCTGGAGGACACTCACTCGTCGCCCTCTGGGCAGAGGCCCGTGGCCTCGTCGTACTTCGTGCAGTAGACGTCGGGGCTGTAGTTGAACGTGCCGTCCCGACGGCGGATGGACCGGCGGCGGCGCTGGTTCACGAAGTGCCAGTGGAAACAGGTATAGGGTCGATGCTGTGTGCATTTGTGTTGTACAAAGAGCGGGCACTGCTCTGTACGGAATTCCTTCAGGTACCTGCAGGGACAGCCCCACAGTTGGTGGGCCGGGAGCAGAGTGAAGTCCCTTGTTCCCCAGCAAGAAGTCGGCCATCAAAGTCCCCTGAGGGCCCTGTTCTGGGGTGCTAGTTTCATGACGACACTGGAAGAAGCCCAGAGCAAAGGCTGGACCGCAACATATGGATCTCTCCCCCTGCCCAAGTCCTAAGACAGCTGGAAGGGCAGGAACCATAGACTGTAGGGCTCTCAGCAATCAGCTGCCTGCCATGTGACCAGTGGAGGGTTTAGTCAGTGGCCTGTTCTCTGGGCCCTCCCTGAGGTCTCCTGCAAGGGCCGAAAGCAAGAGCTTGCAGAGCCCCCTTGACCTTCCCATGGGGACCTCTGCTGCCTGGGTCTGCCTGCTGATTTCAGAGGCCTCACCCATCCCAGGAGTGGTGCTGGGTCCCAGGCTGAGGGCTAGGGAGGCTGCTACTTTTGAGCTCAAAGCCCAGGTCACAGGTGTCCCTCTGGACTTCTGACTCACATAATTACTGTCCTACCCACCTCCCCCCAGAGACATTTCCTGGCACAACCCAGGTAAGTGTTTGGGAAGGAGTTAACATCAGAAGCATCTAAAGAAAATCTCCCTATCGACCTTGCCTGCCCCGCCGTCTCACAGATGAGCACCCACAGCAGCTGGGGCCATTACATCCTGGCTGACCTGGGGACCTGGGAGCTCTGACTGTCCGTATGGCCTCCTCCGGACCTTCGCCTCTCTTCTTTGCTCTGCATGTGACGGCCAAGACACCCCCAAAGCTCCTCTCCCAGGCCCCACCCCCTGGAGCGCCCCAGAGCCGCTTATCCCCTTATAAAACGTACCCCCCACCCATCTTCGTTCCCTGTGTCTGTGCAGAGGGTTTCTCAGGCTTGCCCCCACCCTGCAGGGAAACAGGTGAGCAGCGCAATTCTCTATGTGTTCCCTCACGCCTTAACCATGCAGGCAATAAACAGCTGGGGAGAGAGTATGTGATGTCAGCGAAGAGGAGGATGCTTCTAGAAGGTGCAGAAGAGAGTGTGGAAGGAGCAACAAACTGACCTGAAACAATGGTCTAGGCTTAGAGGACATGGGTCAAAGGCCAGAGGGTCCAGCCCACGTCTTTGGCTCATGCCAGGATACTCTGGGCCCACGGGAGGTGTGAGGACAGGTAGGCCCAGGGCTGAGACGGTGCAGACAGGTTATCTTTAATGGCAATAAAAGGCTGGAAGTGTGGAGAAGTGTCCGGGGGTTCAGAGTGGTGAGCAGGGCGCTCCCAGAGGAACACAGATGAGGTTGTCTAGGGCAGCAAAGCCTCCAAATGGAGCCCTGCGTTCACTCAGCACACCTTTGGCACCTACTAGGTCCAGGCACGGTGGAGGGCAATGACACGGACGAAGCTGGCCCTTGTCCTCAGAAAGCCCCGTTTCCATGGGAGACATGCCAGCAGCAGGTGGAACCAGCCAAGTGTGGGGGAAGTCATGAGGTAGGTTCGCTCTGGGCTCTTTAGGAACCCAGAGTCAGAACCCGTGTCCTCGGCACAGCTCGCGGTGGAGAGAGGAGAAGGGAGGCGCTAGTGAGTGAAGGGTAGGGGAAGGGTGTTTCAGGCGCAGGGCACAGTATGAGCTGAGAAACAGCAGGTCTGGGTCCTCGAGCTCCCAGCACCCTTGTGGGATGTGAGTGGGATAGGAGAGGAACTGGAAAGGGGAAGTGAGGGAGAGGTGCAGGCAGAGCCGAACTTCAGGGACACTGTGGCCAAAGTTCAGGTACATTCTGAGATGCCAGGCAGAAGCCTGCAAGGCTCCCTCAGGCCTTGGGCTCCCCTGTGCCCTCTGGCATTGGGACACAAGGCTTGGACTTGAGGTCTCTCTCCCCGTCTCCCATCTGCATGGACAGAATGTTGCACCTCATGCTGTACAAAGGTACCACACGCTGGCACTGAGTTAGGACACCCATCCCCTAAACTAGGCTGAGCCCTCCTGGGCAACACATACTCCCCGACTTTGGACCCACGAGGAGACTGACTCTGGAAGAAAGAGGTGGGAATGGGAGAGGAGGCTGAGCCCAGGGCCGGGAGCAAAGAACGAGTGGTGGCTAGGACTGTCCGATTACCCCGTGGCAATCAGTACACCAAACTCAGATAAACCAAGATCTGCTGGGACATACTAAGAAATTACTCATTGTTTATTTGAAACTCCAATCTAGTGCCTCAGAGAACAGCCAGGGAGATGACAGGGAAGAACTCAGGACATGGTCTTCCCGACCCTGGGCACAGCCTGTCCCGCTGGAGAAACTGGCGAGCCCACTCCCTGGGGCAGCCAAGTCTACAGTGCCCCATGCAGGATGCCAGGGCTCCACAAGGGTCCCACCTGGCAGGAGTGCCCCAGAGGACAGACACAGGGGCAACAGATGACATCATTTTAAGCCTCTTCATTTCCACTCCCACAGGTCGGGGACCTGGTTCCTTTTAATAAACTGGTCTTGCTTCCGGCCTCTCCTCTGCCCGTCTAGTTTACCCTGCACAGTGCTCACTACTCCTCCTGGAGTCCAAACTTAACCCTCCCTTTATTAAAAAAGCCTTTGGATCCCCCCAGTTGCCACTGAGAAGCAACTCCAGAGTCTGGAACTCCAGGCCCTGCTTGCCTGGCCCAGTGTACTTTTCCAGCCTCATTCCGCTGGATTTCTCTCTCTTCCCACTGCTAACAACTGGAGTCCTCGCAACCAGAGTAATTTCTCTCCCTGCTGTGCTCAACGTGCCCTTTCTCACCTGCAGAAATCTTTCAAGGCTGACTCCTGTGGTAATGAGTCTTCTGATGCCACCACCTCAAAGCCTTCCCCGGCCTCCTCCCCTCCTGCCCTGTCATCGGCTAAAAGTTACCGTATCTGTTAAGTTTTTGCAGCACTTTCTCTAGACATTCCTTACAGCCCTTATCCTGCACTGCATATTAATAATGTGTGTCGTTTCCCCTACTACTAGATTATAAAGTCCTTGGTGCCAGGCATGTAAGAAGCCAATACAGCCCTGGCTGGTGTGGCTCAGTGGATTGAGCACAGGCCTGCAAACCAAAGGGTCCCCCATTCGATCCCCAGTCAGGGCACATGCCTGGGTTGTGGACCAGGTCCCCAGTAGGGGGCGTGCAAGGGGCAACCACACACTGACATTTCCCTCTCTTCCTCCCTTCCTCTCTCTCTAAAATAAATAAAATCTTAAAAAAAAAAAAAAGGCCCCAGTACAGTGACAAAGTTGACTATTACAAGAAATAAAAACGTCTCAGAAAGGGCGAAGTCCACAAAACAATCCCAACAGTTTCCTGATGCTGCTGGCAGGGCTGACCCTGGTCCCGGGTGGAAGGCACTTCAGAGCAGTAAACCTGACACGTGGCCGAGAGGACACACCAACCTGCAGAAAGCCACTCGTGAGCAAGGGGGTTGGAATGACCGAATCTAGGTGGCCGAGAGAGCCCACTTTCAACCAACTACAATGAGAGGAAAGAAATTAAGAAACTGAACCTTACATCATTCATGAAACTTAACCACCCACCGCCTGGGAGCCCAAACGCTGGGTCAGAGTTTCCTATACTCCCCTCCAGCCTTGTGGTACCGGGCAATGCAGTTCTCATGAGGCAAGGAGAAAACCACTTAGAAACCACTCTTCTGTATTTTCATGGATTGAAATGAGCACAAATTTTCAGTGAAAACGCAGAACTGTCTCCATTAAGCTCCACTTCATCTTTCCATTTTAAAGGTTTGAAAGCACAGGATGGAACGAACAGGGTGAGGCTCACTGTTCAGTTCAGCCAGCTCTCGGGAAACAAGCCCTGGGGTCTAACCAAGAAGGGAAGTCTCACCCTTCCACGATCTGGGGGTTGGGGGGCACAGGGCCCCAGTCTCCCAAGCAGACACCCACAAGCCCGAGTATAAAAACCAATGAACACAGACCAGCTTCAAGTTGAGAGGCCTCAGTGACCTGCTGTGGCCAGGATGAGTTCAGAAACCACTCAGGCCCTGAGTAAGGAAGGTCAGAGAAAGCCACGCCCCGGACCAGTGGAAGGGCTTCCCGAAACTTGGCCCTACTGGCCGGGGCTCCACCCTCCCACTCACTCGGCTGGGGCTGACTTCCCATCAATCATCTCACACACCTCTTCAGGACATCAGATTAATTATCTTATGGTTTACTGACCAATGTAAAACATTATTATAAAAGTAACATGCCCCCTTGAAGGGCAAAATCACCCTTTTTGGTAAATTTTCTCCCACTATATATTTTTATACAGGTAGCATCATAATGTACCCTAGTGCTTGCTATATTGGTTTACAGAACGTCTCATACTTTTCTCTAAAAACTTTAAAAATAAAATATGGGCAACTAGTTCTTTTTAGAAAAATCAAATAATACTTTCAACATTTACTGGATTCTCTTTATCTTCTGAAATTCTAAACAACAGCCAAAGCCAGGCTACTTGAAACCTAATTAAATCACTCGCCCCCTAAATCAACATGACAACACAGAAGAAAGTAGTAATGAATTCAGAAAGTTGTATCCCTCTTAAAGAGGTGTTAAATCAAGCGCTCAACTGCTACAAGTTCAATTTCCAGCTACACTTTAAAGCCCATTCCCCAGATTCACCAGTTGGGGTATTTCACTTGCCCTCTCCTAGGGAAGTGTATGAGAACTTGAGTAAACCGCCTAAGTATCAGACATGCCTGACAGAAAAACCACGTGAGGACTGACGCAATGACCTGGATCCAGCCCCCACTACCTTTGCGACAGTGCTCGGCACGGCCTCACTGCCCGGCTCCCTCCCCAACAAAACAGGCTCTGGATTGGCTCGGCAAACTTCTGCTGTAAAGGACCAGATAGTAAATATTTTAGACTTAGAGGGTGTCAAGACACCAAATTGAGGGTATTATGCAGGTACTTATATAACAAGAGAGAGAGCAAATTTCCATATGTATTTTATTGATAAATTCAAAATATAATAGTAATTGGCCACAACTTTGTAATACAGGCCTACTAAGAAGAACGGAGTTGGGAGGGATAACATTTGCTAGGTCCCTTTCATCAAAATTACAAATGTTCATCTGTTATAATAGAATTTTATGTATTTCATCTTTGAAAATGTCTCTTCACATAAGTAGGTACTGCCAATAAATACTGTTATTCCTAAATAGAAAAATTTGTTTAAAAAAAATACTGTTATTCCACAAACATGATTTTAGTTGAGCATATTCATCTCTTAGAAGATATTTATAAGACTTTAATTGTCTTGATATTTGCATTCAAGTCACGTCCGGTTGAAGGCCTGGTGTAAACTGCTTAGGTGCACAGGTAAATGGACTCTGGAATAGAGAATTTCCTTTGTATTCGGATCAAGATGCAGCATTGCTGTGAGAACTGTCGTTTGTGTTCGGAAATCACGTCCACGATAAACCTGTGTACAAACGGAGGTCTCGCCTTTAACTTTTGACAGCGCAGTGTATCACGCAGCTTGACGACTCACAGATCGAACGTGAGTTGTCGAAATGAGTTTACTGCAATGTAGGGTTTGCACATAAATAATGACTTGCCTTGAAATTTTAGGGTGAATTCCCTAAGAAACATTATGAAGTCTGCAGGAAAAGCTAATTTCCAAAGCCATTCATTGTTCAATAATGGTAGTTGAAAATGATTCTTCGCACCCAAAAAGATTTTAATCTCAGCCCTGAACTGAAAAAAATCACAGGGAAACCTTCCCACTGCTCGGCCATTGCACTGCTGTGCAGCAGAGACGGCAGAACAATTCTGCTTCTAGTTCTGACCATTCACGGAACTGACGGCGGGCAAGTCTGCAAGAGGCAGTGCCATTTGGCACCGAGCCCAACAGCTCACAACACACAGCTCACAACACACGACAAGAGTCAGAGACACTCCGCAGAGAGCCTGCTGATGAACAATGCAATGAGTGACTGTGGCTTTCAACACCTCCCATCTGCCTAAGCTTCGTGACTGTCTGTTGTGGTAGCCAAGGGTTCGGACAGTGCTGATCTGCAAACTACTGTCTTCCACACTCACAGCAGCCCTACTGGCTGCTATGCCCACACCCACCCCTGAAGAGAAATGTGGCTGGAGCGCTCACACACTGTGGCTTATCAGACTCTTTGTTTTCAAGTTTGAGAATAAAATACTCCTAACTTACAAGGGCAGATAAGCAGATTAAGAATACTAAACTACTTATTTAAGTGTGATATATATATGTACATATAAAAATATACACATATCTTACAATTTATTGAAAATCTTTCCTCTTTTCTAAAGAGCTTTAGGTAAATTACTAGCGGTTCTATGCTGTTTTTATAAGACATACACATTCTGTTTTGATATCAAACATAATTCAGAAACCATACAATTTTGTAACGATAACCACATCAGTGGAAGTTGCCAAAAAGTGATTTAAAAAAAACAAGGCCAAATAAAGCTAAAATTGGTGCTTGGCAAGTATCTGGACAATTCTGATAAAGCGCTATGCAGCTATAGAGAGCTGGCATCCAAGTCTTCCGAAGTGGTCCTGGTTTAGAACATTCTCTCTGGCAGAAAAAGAAAGCAAATAAAATAAATGTCTAGTGAATTCTGAGTATGTCTGAAACTTTAAGGCAGGCTTTGAGATCCCCAAATTGACTTTTAGCCAAAAAGCCCCTATACTAAGGCCCAGTGAACCTCCTGAATACAACGGAAGGGCCCTGACTCAGAGACACACACACGACAGCCCCACGAGGGCTAGAGGCCCTGTGGTAAGCGAACACTTCAGGGTGGGCAGCTATCCACTGGCAACCACTTTCCCCCACTCATCACTGAGACAGTCCGACACCTGTGAGCTGGGCTAGCCCCGACAACTAACAAGAGCCACGAGGCTATGACGCTGTAGAACTGGCCCAGTGTCCCTAGTTCCTTCTTTCTACAATTGTCGCCCCCTTGCCCTAAGGACCCTGGAACTGGTGATAGGAGAGTTCGTGTAAGTGCCTCAGCCACTGACCTGGGAGGACGTGCGGGGAGCACTGAGAGCCCTGACTCCCGCTCCCTAAATCAGGGAGCACCTCTACTTGATGTAGCTTTTCCAAACACAGATGGTCTGAAAAACCTCCGATCCGATGAGCATTTCCGTGTTACGTGTAAATCAGTGTTGCTTTGTACACTGTTTTCTGTACAACCAAGTCTTTGGCCCTGGGAGGGTGGATCCATTCACAGCACAAATCCTTCATGTAAGATACAGGCAGTCTGATGGAGGCTGTACGAAGGATGACGACTGAAGTTCAAGTGGATGCAGAAGAGGGGAGTGTGCTCTGAGGACGACACCAACCCATGTGTGCCCTAGGAAATGAAGACCCTCTCTAGTGGGGAGACAGCCCAGGAAGGTGTTTTGATTAGGGCCACTGAGGGAAAGAGTAATGCAACCAGAAGCAGTGACTTGGGCCCAGTTCCCACTCATTAGCATAGTATCGTACACCGTGCTAAGAGCCGGGCACTGTTTCAAGCACTTTATACATGTGAACTCACGCAATCCTCACAATGACTGCACAGGCACTGCTGCTACCCTCTGGAGACTGAAACCCAGAGAGGAAGGTCACTTGCCCAAGGTCCCACAGCAAATAAAGGGCAGAACTGGGCTTCAAACGCACACAGCTGGCCTCGGAGTCAGCCTTCTTAAACGTCATGCTGACTGTCGACTTCGTTTCTCTTAACTGAGATAAAGGGAAAACAAGGGCAGCAGCAAATAAGCGTGCACGAGTCTGGATGCTGCGTGAAATGCATCAGGGAGTTTCTGACAGGCCATAATTACACCACCATAAAACAAGTCACTAAAAATAAAAACAGAAATGTTAATTTTAACATGCTCTACTGAATATTTAATATTCATTTTACATACTCATCATAAAGGACTCTCGGTTCGATTAAAAAACTGTTCGCTTTTTTAAATAAGAAAATACAGGCACGTTTCTAATTTATGCTAGGTTTGAAGAGGTTTGCTCTACACGGACTCTAAAGAGGCAGGCTAGCAAGTGCCTGGCACCTCCTGGCAGTAAAAGGGACACTGAAAAGATACAATACTGTTCTTACCAAAATTAATAGAAGCTCAGATACTATTTAGAACATTCAGATCATAAAAAAACCCACACCAAAGGTTCTTATAACCTCTTCTTTTCTAAGCCCAAGTGCCGCTCTTCAATGGGGGTAGTTTTGTGACTAGGCCAAAATTTCACAGGGAGGTAGGAACGTGGGCCTCCCCCCTCCTCATAAGTCACTCTGTTAGGACTTACTGTGGCCATATGGTGTTTCAGATACTAATTGGAAACAAATTAGTCAATTTAAGAATACAGAAAGGAAACTGTGACATAAAGAATAAGGAGCCCAGGCTGGTGTGGCTCAGTGGACTGAGCATAGACCTGTGAACCAAAAGGTTGCCAGTTCAATTCCCAGTCAGGGCACATGCCTGGGCTGTGGGCCCAGTTCCCACTTCAGGGTATGAGAGAGGGAACCAATCAATGTTTCTCTTCCTCTCTTCCCCTCCTTCTAAAAGTAAATAAATAAAATCTTAAAAAAAAGGAAAACGAAGAGACATTCAGCAAGCTCAGATATGACACGGTGACACTGACCCAGGCCTTAGCATCTTCTTTGTCTCCTAAATCAATTGAACACCAACAGAAAAAAAGGTCACCTCACAGAGAACGCTATGAGATTTTAAGTCGCTAGACTCCTTTCCATCTTCTCCTCCTCCTCAGCTCTCGATACTGCTGTCAAATGCTACACACTGGCAAAGAAAAAAGGGGTGAAAGTTGAGGGATTTTACAGAGAAATAATTAAAAAGCTGTGACTACTTGAACTAAAACATTATAGCCCAATACCATTTTAAATGCCCAGAACACATGGCCTGTCTTTAAAGAAATGCCAGCACGCACATCAGAACAGCCCGCACGACAGCTGAGGACTGTGACCTATCACACTTCAGCAGAGCGGCAACCTTCCACCTCCCGCCCACCCTAGGAAATAAGTGCGATTCATTCTACCAACGCATTGGGAAAAACATGCTTGTTCCTTATAGTGGCTGTTAATTCAGACAATTTCGAGCACAACTGCCGACCACCAGCAGTCTCAAACTTGCTGAGTGTTCACTCCTTATCTCAAAAGCACCTCAGCAGACTCAGAACGTGGGGGCATGTTCACTAGAACGGACCAGCGGGGCTCAGCCGTTGAGAGGGCTGGGGGACGGTGTTCCTTTTCACCTGGCGCGGGCTTGCCCACACACGGGAGGATGCTGCCGAGCCGGAGGGGCCCTGTGCTCTACAGCCATTCTAGCAAGTAGGAACTCATATGCATTGATTTCTTAAAGCCCCTTTCTTAAAAATATTAAGGTGTAATATACACAACATAAAAATGCACTGTTTTCAAGTGTACTGTTTTTTAATACATTTAACATGTTGCATAACTATCACCGATTCCAGAACACTTCCATCACTCTACAACTATGTCTTATACATATGACCATACGCACTGATTTTACCCGTAGTTTCTACACAGATAATCTCTGTCTTCCAAGCAGGCATTTAAGATGGTTGTTTGGGTAAATCCACAGAGTACCCGCATCGTAAGAAAATAAGAAAGCTATGTCGTCCAGAAGGATACTGAACCCAAACTCCTGGCACTTTTAGCAATTAGGCTAATGTATTTTTTTGCATTGGCTAAGAACAGCAGAGAAACTGACATTCAACAACATCTTCACATAACGCATTAGTGTGCCCTAAATTCATCCAAGATTTTAAAAGAAGGGAAGACAACCTACTAGGGTTAATAACTGTCCATAGTTCCAATTTCAAAATACAGAAGATGCATTATGTGGGAAAACCTCCTTTGGCATCAACAATAAATGAAAAACTTCATCATTAAGCAAATATTGCCCCATTTGGGAAAATAATCCTAAACCAGTTCACCATTTAAAGTAATATAGCTACAAATGCAACCTTAATCGCTCTGCTGCCCTGAAGTCTCTCCTGCTGAGAACAGTGACTCTTAGGCAAAGGTCTGGCAGAAAGGCCTGCGGACGCACGGCGAGCTCTGGCTGCAGTGGGGCTCTCACCAGAGTGAGCTCACAGCTTCTGCGACACACAGGAAGGAGCTCACCTTCAGGCAGCAGGGCATTGAGAGCGGGAGGAGGTAGGTCCGAGAGGGCATCTTGCTTTTGTGCACTGATCTGAGGTGCCCCTTCCAGAGGAGGAGCGCCTCTACAGAGCACGCCCAAGTGGGTTGCTCTGAGTTGCTCTCAGAGTTGTCCGCTGCCCTCACCATAAGTCAGTCTTTGTAGGATGACAGAAAGCACCAGTGAAAGCAGATGCATATGGGCTGTGGGGAAGCCTTCTTTAGTGTCTAACACGGCTGGATTAAAACAAAAAAACTTAACCATTAAGCAAATCTTCACTTTAATCATTAATTTAGATTATAACAAATATCAACTAGATGTTAAGCTTAACTCTACCCTTAAGATGAGCACTTAAAACTTATAAACGGGAATTCTGTAGGTTTGATTGAAGGCCATAATGAGCTCTTAATTTTGGTTCTGTAAGAAACTAGTTCCAGCCCTGGCCAGGTAGCTCAGTTGGTTGGAACATCATCCCAATACTCCAAGGTTGCGGGTTCCATCCTGGTCAGAGCACATACAAGAATCAACCAGTGAATGCACAAGTAAGTGGAACAACAAATGGATGTTTTCTCTCTCTCTCTCCCCCTTCCTCTCTAAAATCAATTAAGAAAGAAAAGAGAAAAGATGAGAAGAGAGGGAGGGAGGGAGGGAAGAGTTCTACTTGACAAATAAGTAAACAAGATCCAGAAATATTTATTGGTAGTTTAACTCATTCTTGCTGAGGTTGCTAGGCAACGCTTCCAGTAACTTCAGTTGTGCAACAAGCTGCCCTCTAGTAATGTATGTGCAATCTTACTGCATCTGCAATAATGTCTTTACTACATGTTCATGTCCTGGATTTCCCAAAACACAACCAGATGCAATCAAGTGAAGTTCATGATGCTTCTATAACATGCAAACTAACAAATCTGCCTCAAAATAGTTATCTAAGGACATACTGCTACATTATCCCTGTTTAAAAATCCCAGGAAAAAGTCCTTAATTAAAAAGGACACTTGGGGAAAGGAAATCTTTAAAGTACTTATCTATCCTCTGTCCGCCTATAAGAAATCACCCAGTGACCAAGAAACCTTCCTGGAACTAGAAATTCATTTTCCTTTAACACAAGGTATTAAGAACTTTGAGAATCAACTGCAGGTGAAGGAATCCAAACATGATTTAATGTCCCTGAGGTTTTTTATAAGGTCAAGATAATGATACAACTGTTACACAGTAATAAGCCCAAAGTTGGCTAAATCTGTATATTTCAGAATGTAATTGCTCTATGAGAATGTAAAATTTCTCATTCTGATAATCTACTTTTATAAAACTTATTTTATTCATTTATTTTATTTTAGAGAGAAGGGAAGGGGAGAAAGAGCGAGAAACCTAATTGTTCCACTCACCTGTGCATTCATTGCTCCAGTCTTGCATGTGCCCTGACAGGGCATTGAACTCACAACCTTGGTGTATCAGGACAACGCTCCAACCAACTGAGCTCCCTGGCCAGGGCTGAAACTCTTCTAATAAACAAGATGGTCTTGTTCTAAGTAAACCTGGGTAAAATGCAGTCCTTGTGAAATAAAAAGACAAATCACCTAGCCAGAGGTCCTGTGTTTCCTATATTGGATGAGCACTAATATACGCGTATTACCATTTTAGAGCGCTGGTCACATACTTAGAGCCGTTCAACAGAGGAAATTCTAATATACCTATTTTCTAAAAGGGTAGAATTCCTCAGGTCTAGCACAAGTGCCTGCTGAAAGGATTAAAGTTTCTCTTAAATGGAGATTATTTAGGAGATTTAGAAAAATACCAACAAAATAATTATCCTTCAAACTGTTATAAATAATCCCCTTAACCCAGAAAATGAGCTCAGACTCCAGGACTTCCACTGAGGGACAAGGACAAACAGAAGAAGGCACACAGAAGGGAAACGCTGCACCCGGGAAGGCAACGCTGGCTTCTGCTGGACTCCACTGTGTTCACTGAGACTGTCTGCCATTAAGATGAGGGACTCAACTTTCTGGAGATCACTGCAATGATGGTTGCATGTCACATAATGGCACAGAACACAGGTGCAAAAAATACACAAAATCAATGTAACAAATGTTTTAGAAGAATTGTAAAGGTAAAAAATTTTGATAGTAAAAAGAAAATACAAACATTCAAAGAGGACTTAGCTTTGTGGGGACACCACCACGGGGCCTTGTCTGTACTCAGTGAGGGTACCGGCCCAATAGCTAAAGCCACAGCCAGACTGGAACAAATCCTGGAAATTCATGCTGCAAGGGAGAATGAAAAATTGCCAAGCAGCTCGAAATTTTGTAACAAATACTGAAATAAAAATAAAAATATTCCTGTATCCAGCCCTGGCCGGAGAGCTCAGTTGGTTAGAGTATTGTCCTGATGTGCCGATGTTATGGGTTTGATCCCTGGGTCAGAGGACATACGTACAAGCAGCAACCAATAAAGGCATAAGCAAGCAGAACAACAAATTGATGTTTGTCTCTCTCCCCCAAAAAATCAATAAAGTTTTTTTAAAAATTAAAAATGATAAATCTAAAAATATTACTGTATCCTAACCTAAACCCCCAAAAGCAACAAATGGGTTCATCTTAAAAACAAACAAAAAAATCCAGGGCCAACAAAGTGTGCTGGGGCCATCTTCCGTGCCCTCACCCTCCCTGCTCCTCAAGCCTGGGGCATCAAGGAATGAAGTTTTCCCAATCATCACAACTTCCGAATATCCACAAATCTACCAAGGAAGACGGCTGATTTCTACCCCCGACTTTTGGAGATATTAACATAAACACACACACACAAATGAACAGACAAAAGAAAGAGATGGTAACACCTAAAATCTCCAACTACCCAATCAAACTCACTGTGGATTCACTAAGCCACCTCAAGAGCCAAGACTGATTACTCTGCATTTACCCCACACGGAATGGATAGTTCCGACAAATGAGAATCAGAACAAAGACTCAGATATTACCACTTATTTACACACAGATGTTGACTTGTTTCATCCGGCAATTCCATTACGATCAGAAAGCCTTTTTTGTTTACTTTTATTTTTTTTAATTTTTAAAAGATTTTATTTCTCTATCTTGAGAGGGGAAGGGAAGGAGAGGAGAGAAATATCAATGTGTGGTTGCCTCTCATACTTCCCCTGCTGGGAACTGGCCTGCTACCCAGGCATGTGCCCTGACTGGGAATCGAACCGTGATCTTTTGGTCCACAGGCCCTCACTCAATCCACTGAGCTACACCAGCCAGGTTTATTTACTTTTAGAGAGGGGAGAAGGGAGGGAGAAAGAAACATCCATCTGGTTGCCTCTCACATGCCCCCAGCTGGGGACCTGGCCTGCAACACAGGCACATGCCCTGACTGGGAATTGAACCTTCAACTTTTTGGTTTGTAGGCTGCTGCTCAATCCACTGAGCCACACCAGCCAGGGCAGATTAACCTAAGACGGCCTTAGTATACTCAACTAACAACACAACACAGAAAGAGACTGCTGAAACCAAGACCCACATGACTCAAAATATTACAGGCATTTACTGAAAAACGTGATTCGAGCAACCAGAGTTTATAAAGTTCCAATTACACCAAGTTTTCAGATTTCCCACTCAAGCCCACACTGTTGACTGACCGCAACACTCAACCAATCAGTATTCTCTAAGGCCAGACCACCTCACCAAAACAATGGCAGGATGGCAGAATGAAGTCCACTAAGAAAGGACCAGCGAAGCCACCGCCACGTGAGGAAAGTGAGTCCCCGCGAGTCTGACCGTAGTCAGGAAAGAGCTTCCGATGATGCCGACCCGGGGCAGAGCAGCTGGCAAAGGAACCAGCGCGCGTCCTGAAACCGAGCCCCCCCTCCCCCGAACGGCTTCCCAGTGGGTTTCACTTCTGCGCCCCCAGCTCCTCCTGTCTACTTGCACTTCTTCCTGCTCCAACAGGCGCTCCCTGCTCTGGATTCACCAGGTGGCCCTTACGGGCTACTCAAGCCCGAGGTGTGAGGATGCACATCGCTCAGGAGCCCATGGGGATGACAGGCAAAGAGCATCTGGGAACATGGAAACCAACGTTTTGCTTAACAGGAAGACCCGCCTCTTTCCATCTTCCTTTCTCCCAAAGCACCTATTGCTTAATGCACCTTCAAAGGCAGTGGAGAGGAGGAAGGCAGGGGCCTACACTGAGACACAAGCTGATTCCCAGGGAGAGGTTTTCCACGTTACTGGCCAGTGTCAGCATTGGGGGCTCTCCCTCCGGTGGCACATTTCGGCTGGGCCTGAGGACACCCTCCGACCCCGTCCTGCTCAGGGTCCCTGACTCCAGGTTAGGTCAACTGTGAACGTGGGAAACACACGGGCCTTGTGGACTCCACGCTAACCGACATTCATCGGTGGTCCCAGGGTTGGCCCCTAAGCAACCCATCCTGGTCGGGTCTTGGACTCCTCCTCGCCCCTCGAGTGCCTGCTACTGTCGTTTACAGTCTGAGGAACAGTTAGGCCTCGAAGGCCTGAGTTAAGGGGTGTGCGCTCCGCAGCCCGCGCTCCTGCCTTCCCCACTCGGCGGCGGGGACCGAGCTTCCCGCCCCAAGGCCCGACCAGAGCTTGGTGGCAGCTGGAGGTAGTCGGGACCGGCCCCAGCAGGTTGGAACCGGTCTGGGCCGGGCCGGAGGAGGAAAGGGGGGGAGGGAGAGGCCGCCTCGCGCTCTCCCTGCGCGCGTGACTCACGCTGGCCGCTGACGTCAGGCGTGCGCGCGCGGCGGGGGGGGCTCTACGTACGTGTAGTGCTGCGGTTTCTCAGGCTGTGCCTGCAGCACCTGAGCGGTAGCGGCCGGGGGCGCCGAGGAAGCTGCGGAGCCGCCGGGCCCGGGGCCCTTCGACATGTTCCTGTCTTCCTGCCTCTTCGCCGCTCCCCTTTTATTATTCAGTCTGCGCGGTCCGCGCCGAGGTCTCAGTGCGCCTGCGCCGCGCCAAGAGAACGTGAAGACCCCCCGCACGGCAACAAGGATTTCTGGGAGTTGTAGTCCCAGGTTCGGCCGGAATTTTACCTTCGGCAGAGGGTTGCTGCCAAAAGAACGGACCACAATAACCAGAGATCCTTGCAGACTGTGTCCCGGATGCTGAGGCTCCGCGACGGCTTTAGGGAATTGTAGTTCCGCTGCGTTTTTTCTTAGCGCAGTTCCAGTTTCGTAGGGGTACTTTTCCTTGAAACTGGATCCTCTGGAGTAGATGGGGCCCCGAGCTAGGGAGGCCCTGAAGACTTCTGTGAAACAGTTCCAGGTGTAATTTTACTGCCAAGAGTGTAATAATTACCTCGCCTCCAGACTTGGTATAGCTTGGGCTCAGTTCAGATGCCAGCCCCTAGCAGTGCTTAACAATCTTGTGCGGTCCGTTTGTGCTGCAGGCACCTGGAGTGCGCCACAACATCTTCAACCCTGCAGCGGGACTAGGGATCAGACACGAAGGAAAGTCTGCCCGCTGGAAATCATCTTGAGAAGGGTTTGCTGAAGAAGAGCTACGCGACGCAATACTCGGTTCCCGCATCTTTGCTGGGGACGCTTCATAGACATTTAGCAACCCTGAAACCTGGAACTCCACGATTTGGTTCCCTTGTTACCTCAACACTTGGCCTGACCAACTTGTTTCCAGTACATTAGGGGCCAAGGGCGAATTTAATCTCCATCTGGAGTAGTCTCAGGTACACGGGCAAGTTGCAGGGGTGTTGAGCAAGCAGCATATAAGGACAGGCCTGGGTTTGAGTAGGTGGTGCGATTTATGATCCTCTCTGAACGTCAGCCTTTCTGTTTGGGAAAATGTCTCCCTCTCCCACTTCCCACCAGAGGGGCTAAGTTTTTCACTTCGTGGCCTTTGTAAAATAAGCCAGTTCCCCCAGACCTAGGCATTTGATTCTGTGAGCTTTATAAAGTTCTTCAAAAACATTTTAACGCAGTTGTTAACTAATGGTCATTTTATTAAAGAAGCATTCTGAACAACCTTAAGAGTGTTGGGGTGAATGAAAAATCATTATTTAAGAATGACACATACTTATTTTTATTTGGTTCCCAGTAACCTTACATCAGAAGCCAAATTGTCAGCCTAGAAAGTTAAGAAACTGGTATTCTTTCCTTCTTTTTTAAAAATTGCTTTTTAGAGAGAGAGAAAGAGAAACATTGAGATGTTGTTCCACTTATTTATCCATTCATTTCTTGCTTATTGTATGTGTCCTGACCCAGGATGAAACTAGCAACCAGAAACCTTGGATGACGCGCTAACCAACTGAGCTCCCCTGCCAGGGTGAAACTGGTATTTCTTACACAGGCCAAACGTTTACCACTAGGGGCGTTGGAAGATGAAAAATTACAAAAGGACAAATAAATGTTGTAGTAGTCCTATTATTAAATCTCAGTAATTGGCTTATACATTTTCCCCAAAACATGCCAGGGTGATTTGAATGAAGAAATATAGTTTGTATGTAGTGCTAGATTTTAAGTAAGTGTACAGCATGAGCTTCAGAATAAGTTTGTACTAATAGAATTAGGAGAGATCATCCAATCTGCTTGATTTACAAGAAAACAAATTCAGAGAGGTTGAGTAACTTGCACAGAGTTACTCAGCAAGTCTGTGACAGGACAGGAACTGGAACAGTTGTCTGCAGCATATTTTGCATTGTTTTAATTGTATAAAAATTTTGCAGTTCTCCATTTCCTGTGTTGCTTTTCCTCCCCTGCACCTATTTAGGAAAAAGAAAAATGAGTCTGTATGACTGACAAGATGGACAAACTATTTTTACTAATTGTCCTTAAATCGATTAATATAAAGCCACACCTGGCTGCTCCTGGAGCAGTTTTAGTTCCTCTCTAATAATTAGCAAAACTGAAACAGAAAAAAACAGCACTGTCTCTCCTCTAAGAGGCACGGGACAAATGGGGTCCAAATCACCTATGAAAATGCTGGAATACAACGGTGTGTTTCTAGGAGCCCATTTCTTCCCCAGACCATCTGAGCAATAGAAAAAAAAAGATGGCAGCGTGTTTTTCTAGTTATATTTTAGAGAATTTGACAGTCTCCTGTGAGAACTAAGTGCCCTGTTTCTTTACATAGGTTCTGAGAACAGGGCAAGAGCCTCCCTCCATCCCTGGATGGTGTGGCTCAGTGGATTGAGTGCTGGTCTGTGAACCAAAAGGTGCTCCATTTGACTCCCAGTCAGGACACATGCCTGGGTTGCAGGCCAGGTCCCCAGTAGGGGGCGCACAGAGGTAACCATACATTGATGTTTCCCTCTCTCTTTCCTTTTCTCTCTCTAAAAATAAATTAAATTTTAAAAAAAGAGCCTCCCCCCATCTTGGTTTCTCCCCTCAGCATGTCATCAATAGAAAGCTAAATCTTTCTGCTACCCTAGACTCAGCAGATCACACAAAAGCCTAAATACGATAAATAATTATTTTGAATGTTAGAATTGAATGGGCTAAAATAACTAGAGTATTTCAGTGCCAGAGATTGGCCCAAAGGTGTTTTTGCCATAGCTCCTTTTCCAAATTGTACATTTGTTCTCACTATCGATACTGAGAGGGGACTTTTGGTGTCACAAGTACATTTTTAAGATATTTGTAATAATTCTCTGAGCTGAAATCTGTATGTAACCGGTTTGGATAAAATAAAAAGATCTTAGTAAACTATTCAGTGTACCCAAAGGAAAGATTATGGAGCAGAATGCCCAAGGCTCTATTTAGTTTCTGAGTTTTGTTTGTCTGGTCTCAACCTTAAGCCTGCTTTGGTATTTCACATACCTGCATCACTGGAGTGCTCAACATTGCAATCCCTTTAAGATATTTATTTAGGCAAGGATAGGAGTTAACATTTTACACATTTGCCACGTTTCTCCACAAGTAACACCTCGAGGGTACGCCATCCAACACAGGTGTCTTTTCTGTATTCGTTATGGATATGCAAATGCTGTTGTGGGGCCATTCCCATTTTCGCTGTGCTAATTTCATTCGGTTGAGTTACATAATTCAAAACCATGTTGCTTGGTTAGTTACATATTGAAATTGTGACAGCCGGCCTGAGACCGTACAAAACGGTACTTATAAAATCATTTACTGGTATTTGTTTCTTTGTAGCTATTATTCACCCTTCTCCACACTACCAAACAAAATAACTGATTTTTGGTTAAAGTATGTAAAAGATATATAAAATACTTTGGTAATATATGATTTATTGAATTCTAATTTTCATTTACACTACAAACTGAACTATCAAAGTGTTAAAATGAATTAAAACATTTACCTAGAATATTTTATGAGTTCTTGAATAAAACTTGGGGACAAAAAAAAACAAATTAAAACTACCTAAATGTTAATGAAAAGTAAATAATAATAGAGAACAAACACATTTTATTTTAACCTGGAAAATATTTACAAAAGTTTTGTTAAACTAACCTCTTTCTACATTGATTGCATCCCTCGATACAAATAAGGTTAGGTTTCTGCCTACCCGGTCTCTGCTCTCCTGATGAGGACCAATGCAATTGACTTACATTGACTTTCTATTGTAGAGCTTTGGAACCAAGGGAAGGATCCAAACATAGCTCCATTTTATCCAATGAGAAGAGCTGCTTAGTGCTAAACTCTGATTCGTCCATTTCTCTTTGCTTTTATCCAATCGTTAGTCCACTTTGGCAGCCAATCAGCGGCCTAGATGTCCACCAATCAGAGAACAGTGCCGAAGCACGGCCTTTGTGTCGGGGGATGTCAACGCGTCGGCGAAAGCTCTGACCAATAGAAAAAGTCGTCGGTGTATGCAAATGAGATCCTTATGACGCAGAGACGCAGCGTGTAGCGTGGATATAAAAGCGGAGGGATTGGGGGGGTTAGAGCAAAGCGGTTTGGGTGTTCGTTGGGGCTGCAGTTTTGCTTTGCTTGGTAGCTGCGGCTTTTCCTTGGGCAGCAGGAGCGGCGCGGCGAACGAAGAACGGCTTAAGACTTCGGCGTTGGGTAAGCGTGACTGGAGGCCGTGCCAGCCGTTGATGCCGCGGGTCGCGGCCGTTGGGGGGGATGAGTGCCGGCTGGTGCGGGCTGCTCTGGCCGCTGGCCGCTGGCATCGGGTGTGGGGTCGGGAGTTTTTTTCCGGGGCTTCGGTCCGGAATCGTGTCTCCTGTCTTTCACGGTGGTGATTAGGAGGTCCTGGCGCTGGATTGCGGGCTCCAGGGCCTCCGCCCGTCGAGGAGGGGAAGTGACTCCTCCCCGAGCTCCCCCTCCCGGGGGAGGCTGCTGTTACTCGTAGCCTGAGTCATTAGGGGAGGGGGGAGGAGGCGCGGCGGCCGCCTCGGCCATCTGCCGCCGCCGCGAGGTGGGGCGCGAAGAGGTGGGAGGGCAGGGGCGCTTCGCGGGGTCTGTTCCGTTCCTCTCACCCCCAACCTCAGGGGAACGGCGCGGCGGGGTGTCATGGATATCTTCTTTAGGTGAAAGAAAATGGCCAGAACCAAGCAGACTGCTCGCAAATCCACGGGTGGGAAAGCGCCCCGTAAACAGCTGGCTACTAAAGCTGCCAGGAAAAGCGCTCCCTCTACCGGCGGGGTGAAGAAACCTCACCGCTACAGGTAGGCAAGGCAGAGGGAAAACAATGACTCGGCGGCGCTGGGTGGCGCGGGAACTGTTCCTGGTAGGTAGGGCGCTGTCACTGTCAGTTAACTGGTGTCCGTTTACATTCTCGCTCAGGCCCGGAACCGTTGCGCTTCGAGAAATCCGTCGTTACCAGAAATCCACCGAACTTCTCATCCGGAAGCTGCCTTTTCAGCGGTTGGTAAGGGAGATCGCCCAGGATTTCAAAACAGACCTGAGGTTTCAGAGTGCTGCCATCGGTGCGCTGCAGGTAAGACGACAAAGGCCCACGGTAGGGGCGGAGGGCTTGAGGCTGGTTTCTCCTCTCCGGAGAGTTTAATAGTGTGGCTCTTGTCCTCAACAGGAGGCGAGCGAAGCGTACCTGGTGGGTTTGTTTGAAGACACTAATCTGTGTGCCATCCACGCTAAGAGAGTCACCATCATGCCCAAAGACATCCAGTTGGCTCGCCGGATACGGGGGGAGAGAGCTTAAGTGAAGGCAGTTTTTACGGTGTTTTGTAGTAAATTCTGTAAAATACTTTGGTTTAATTTGTGACTTTTTTTGTAAGAAATTGTTTATAATATGTTGCATTTGTACTTAAGTCATTCCATCTTTCACTCAGGATGAATGCGAAAAGTGACTGTTCACAGACCTCAGTGATGTGAGCGCCGTTGCTCAGGAGTGACAAGTTGCTAATATGCAGAAGGGATGGGTGGTGACTTCTTGCTTCTCATGATGCATGTCTCTGTATGTTAGTGACTTGTTGGGTAGCTATTAAGGTACTAGAACTGATTAATGTGTACAGGGTCCTTTTGCAATAAAACTGGTTATGACTTGATCCAAGTGTTTAACAATTGGGGCTGTTAAGTCTGACCATGCATCACTGTGATAGAATGCGGGCTTTTCCAAGGGTGAAGATACAAGTCTTAACCACAGTGTAACTTACAGTTTCCTTAAAAAAAAAAAAAATTAAACATGGCAGCTATAGAATACACTATGTGCATTTATAATAGCTATTTTATATATTGTAGTGTCAACATTTTTAAATTAAATGTTTTACATTCACATGTGGGGAGTCTTGTCATTAAGGTGTGTGTAACTTAAGGTCCAGTTGGTTTTCTCCTCTAACTAAACTGCACTTGTTTCATAGTAGTAAAATGCTTTGTAAATTAATACCTTGCATAAGTCCTCATTCTACCACATGTTAACTAACCCTCTAGCTGATAACGCAAACTATCGCGGGGATTTTATTTATAAGGGCTCTAGAATATAATACAAGTTATTCACACCAGCATCATCTATTACTAACATTCTGAACTAGTTCAGCTTTTTTGTGTTGTGGTTAGTTTCATAACTAGGTTGAGTTTTTCCTCTACCAAGAGGAAACAATACCCAAGTTCCTTCCTTGTGGAGTTTGTGTTATAACCCTTAGTGTGAACTTGCCACCATGGGGGTGGGGCACGCGACTCCAGCTTAATGATCTCTGCCGGTTCAGATGGCGTCCAGTTAGGTTGCATCTGGTGTGGTCCTGGGAAAATCACTTTACAGAGATGGTCTTCCAAGTGGTTTGAGAATTTATCCTTCTATTGAAGTTTTTAGGTCAATTATGTATGTTGACTAAATTTGCAAATAAACTTGTTTATCCAACTAAGTGTGAAAAACCTAAATTGAATACAGACATCTATTAATACATCCACTATCTAGGTTTTTGTATCTAAAAGTTTGAGTTTAGCTTGTTAGAAAAATAGTTAAATATAAAAGGCCCCATGCTGTATTTTGCAGTGTGAGTCAAGATAAAATACTAATACTGCATATTGTCAAGGAATAGAATAGGGGTGCAACATAGACCAAGAAAAGGGAATTTTTAAATGCTAGGGCTGAGGTTGGGGATCTGTTTTCATGAACCTTTCTATGAAGGAACTTAAGGATATCATACAGCAAGTGAAATAATCTCAGGGGTGCAAGGCTACTGGGTCCAAGCCACCACAGTAGGAAGAGGTTTCTTGACAAGCTTGGCCAGCAGTGGGGGGCAGAGCTTAATATCGGAGGTGCAGGAGAGCCTCCAGTCCAGGAGCACTCTGCATATTTGAAGCTGTAGCAAGACATTTACACCCTAATAGTTTTTTTTTTTTTTTTTTTTTTTACAAGGATTTCAAATGGAAGAGGGAGGTTGTGAAGAAAGCCTTAGAATAGGCCTGGGGGTCTTGGTAACTTAGCCTTACTCTGGGTCAAAGGTGGAGTCTCGTGATGAACTGGTTTTCTAGAAGGTTCGTCGTGACCAGCTCTGAAACCTTTACCAGCACTTTCCTTGCTGCGTTGGAAAGATCGAAGTCCTGGATGCTGGTGTGTGCCGTGACTGAACAAGAGCAGGAACTCGGCTGTGGTGACAAGTCCGCTGCCTTTGAGTTACCTGTGGTAACCCAGGGGATAGCAGTTGAACTTTCTCCCCAGCCTGCATCTGATCAGAAGGTTCTTGGGTTTTAATGGGCAGCTGGCACTTCCATACTTGGAGCATTCTTAACTAGAAGGCAAAGCTGATTTTTGGTTCTCAGAAGCTGGCCACAGGCTATCTCTGGGTACAGGCCATGGAACAGTCCGTAGGCAGGAGAGCAAGAGATAGAGTTGATGGAGGTGCCCTGTGCCCTTGGTGAATAGACAAAAATAAAGTTTTGAGGTTGAGGCTTGCCAATGGTCTTCATTTGAATGATAATATCGCTTGCTTTCACAAAACAGTTCCTGTGGGGAGCTGCCCTATAAGGCCTTGTCTTGTGACTCGGCTCGGGTGCACTGAGGACATTCAGTTAGGAGCCTGGCAAACACCTGTTCTTACAGCACGTCACTGCTGGTTCAGAACAGGGCCACTCTGCTCATTGAACTTGTGCATCAAGTAGCACCTCTCCACTGTCAGCTCCACCAGTCGAGCCAGACTGATGTGGGCCAGGTAAGCAGAGGGCCGGAAGCACCAGAGGTCCTGATGGCTGTGTGTGGCTCCCAGGAGATTCTGAGCTGCCCCCCAGGGCATCCATCTGGTCCCCATTCCTATTGCCTTGTCACCTCATCTGTCACTTCACTGAGCCAGCACTCCCAGCACCGGTCTGAGACCGCTGCTGAACAGCTGCACCTTGCCTGGGCCCCACAGCTTCTTCCCTGCCCTTGATGGTGGTCTCACCAGCCTTCCGTGAGCCTTCCTCAGGGATGTCACCAGCCTGGGCTACTCCATCCAGCTGCACTTGGCTCCTGGCCAGCAATTGCAGCCCAGTCGGCCTTCTGGCTGCCTTGCGGAGGGCAAGCTAGAGGAAGGTAGGCAGGAAGGACCAGGCCTCTCCCCAGGTTGCCAACCCAAGTCCTGTGGCACCAGAGGGAGAAAACTGAAAATGGGCCAGAGGGTTGGTTGGCCTTTTGCTTTCCTCATCCTTTTGTTGGCAGGTCTGGGAACAAGCCAGGCTGTGGGCCAAGGTGGTGCAGCTGGGATGCCTTCGGTGCGTAAATAAGCTGTGCCGTGAGGAGGGGCGCCTGCTCCCTGTGATGCTGACTGCCCTGCAGCCCAGCAGCAAAAGGGCTTCTACATCGTGTGCCACCCCCACCACGGCTGTCTTGATGTCCTCACCAGAGCACCGTGCCATGTCAGGTTGGGCACAACCAGGGGGAAGCAATTCTTAGCCTTGTGCCCCAAGCAAAGGACCCTCCACCCCACCTTACCCCCACCCACCCCACTCCCCTTCCCCGTGGAGGAAGCCAAGAGGCTCTGCAGTCATGCCCTCACCATGCAAGCAAGGCGAGGGGCTTCAGTGAGGCCATACATGACCTGGAAAGGGACACACGGGCAAAGTCAGATGCTAGGGCTGGGGTCCTCACTCCAGCAGCTGTCAGCTCTCACTCAGGAAGCTGCAATTCTGGGGATGCACACAGTGAGTTGGAGGGCAAACGAACACCTCATGGACCAGTGACAAGGAGGGGCCTCACGGGGGGGGGGGGGGGGGGGGGGCCGTGTGCTCCAGACTTAGGGCTGGAAGCCTTTTGCTTCAGAGTGTGTGAGGGACTTCGCGCATGCCCACGGAGGTGGTGCCTGGACCCCATTATCCAGCACTCCCTTCCCAGGCTCTGTTGGACTTGCTCAGGGCCTCCCCTGTAAGCCCGTCGCTTCCTAGCACTGAGCCTTGAGTGTCAGCAGGGGAAACACAATGGAGTTGGCTCCTAGGCCCAGCATCACCGGCCCTCAGGTCCCACTGCAACTGCCCCCAGCACTCTGCCTTCGGCCAGTCCCAGTCCTTCTGCCCACTGGGGTAGCTGGAGCCCTGTGCCAGCGGCACTCGGTGCCCAGTGTGAGACGCCAGAAGATGGCCACAGGCCTGGGCTGCCATTAGCATCTTCTGGGTCTGGGTTGCTCCTTGGCCATTGATAGGGTGGTCCTCAGCCTAGAGGGTGGGAACTTCAGGGACGTGGCTGGGGTCCCAAATAAAGACACAGCCTGCAGCTGTCCCCTCGTCACAGGAGAAGCTCCTGGTGCTCTGAGGCAAGGTTTGAATCTTGCCTGCCTTTGGAGTTGGGCCTGACACACGGCAGAGGCTCCACCCACATTTGCCCGTCACCCTGAGTGGCCCCAGCAGCCCCACAGCAGAGCTGGCTGGTCCTGCTCCTGGCACACGTGCAAAGAAGGAGCCCACTTCCCAAGAGTTTTGGTCACTGGCCTGGCTTCTCCATTGGGAGCGTCCCACACAGGAAACAGGGCTCCAGTGGTCTGGGAGAGCAACTGTCCCACCTGTCCCTTGCTTAGAGGCTGAGCTTTAGACTTTGACACTTTAACAAGCAGAGACTGCAGCAGGTCAGGGTGCTCAAGGGGACAGGGTGGTGGCTGAGAGAATGGGCTCAGGGTCAGACAAATGCAGGTTCAGGGCCCAGTTGTCCCATTTAGATGAGGTCCTTCACACACCTGTGCTTCTTTTCCTCATCTCTGAAATGGGAATAAACATAGTACCTACCCAATAGGCTGGTAAGGATTTAATGAAATAATCTGTGCAAATTCTGGTGATTATTTAAAGATTGTATTTATTTTTTTACAGAGGGGAAGGGAGGGAAAAGGAGAGGGACAGAAACATCAATGTGCGGTTGCCTCTTGCATGCCTCCTACTGGGGACTGGGCTTGCAACCCAGGCATGTGCCCTGACTGGGAATCAAACTGGTGACCCTTTAGTTCACAGCCAAATGCTCAATCCACTGAGTCACACCAGCCAAGGCAAGTTCTGGTGACTTGTAAAATATTTGACAATGCCCTGGCTGCTGTGGCTTAGTGGACTGAGCGCAGGCCTGCCCCCCCCCAGTGCAGGTCCCCTGTGGGAGGTACATGAGGAGCAACCATACACTGGTGTTTCTCTCCCTCTCTCCTTCCCTTTCCCTCGCTCCAAAAAATAAATAAAATATTTAAAAATAAAATAAAATATTTGACAACAAAAGTCAAGGTCACTGACAATCAGAACAGACTCAGGTAGTCAACAACCAGCACTGCCCTGCTGGCTGGGCACCAGCCCTGATACCAGATTAGGATTAATTCAGTACCTCAGAAGCTTTTATCATTAATGTTGCAGAAAGGCAGAGGGCGCCCAAATCAGGAGATTGGTTAATGCTCCGGGAATAGTAGCAAAAAGAACCTTCCAGGGTGGGCAAGGGTGGGCCATCCGCTGAGAGCAACCTTTCAGAGACCACATGGGTAAACGTCTGCTCGGGAGGTGTGGCCCCGAGTCCCATCAGGGAGCCAGGCCATGACCGCAAAGAAGAAGCGGGAGTTGCGTGGAGCAGGCAGAGCTCCGCAGCACGAAGACAGGCTGAGTCCCACAGGCCCACAGACAGATACAGCCCCTGGGAGAGAAGAGGCGCCTCTGAAATGCCTATCCTCATTGCGGGCCAGGTGTCACCACAGCCTGGACAAAGTGGCCTTGGTGGCCTCTAGGCCTGCCTAGGCCACCAGGCAGTCAGCCGGCCTGGGTGGACCCCCACCACTGGTGGGCACTACTGGGAATTCTACCGTGATGCCTCCATCCTATGTGACGGCTGCCTCTGGCGGTGCTGATACAAGCGAGCTTTCCCTCCTTGTTTTTTGACCAGTGAAGTAGATCTTGGGGTGCAGTGTCCCCATTAAGTGCCACCTCCCCCTGCCCCCAGCCCTGTGACAGGTGACCAGGAAATGGGAAGAAAGGTTAAAGGTTAAGGCAGACTTCTCAACAAACTTCATGTGACATGCTAGATGGGATTTAAAAACTGAGTGTAGCCCTGGCTGGTGTGGCTCAGGATTGAAAGCTGGCCTGTGGACTGAAAGGTTGGGGGTTCGATTCCCAGTCAAGGCACATGCCTGGGTTGTGGGCCAGGTCCCCAGTTGGGGGCTTGTGAGATGCAACTGATTAATGTATCTCTTGCACACTGATGTTTTACTCCCTCTCTTTCTCCTTCCCTTCCCCCCTCTCTAAAAATAAATAAATACAATTTTAAATAAAAAAATTGCCCTGGCTGGTGTAGCTCAGTGGATTGAGCGCGGGCCTGCGAACCACACGATCGCGGTTCGATTCCCAGTCAGGGCACATGCCTGGGTTGCAGGCTGGTTCCCTGCAGGCCAGTTCCCAGCAGGGGACGCACAAAAGGCAACCATACATTGATGT